TATCTTTCTCAGAGTTTATTTTTCACTACTCGGATTTGAGTGCCCACCAGGTGAAGGGCTCTGTATCATTCAATCCATCTCAGGACAGGATTGCCTTTTTCTATCTTGTTGACATGTAAATAGCTGGTCTTGTCTGCGCAGTGTAGATTACGGCAAGACAAAATGGGGAAGTGAAAGCTCTTACTGCCTGGCCAGGTCTTGGTAGATAGCTTGTCCACGTGTGGAATAAAAATCCGTGATTACCTGCATATTGTTAAGGATTGAAAGGCGCTGGGTGTTGTGCATAGCTATGGTATGAAGTTGTGGACTGTGAAGCAGTGGTTGAATTTACAGAATGAGTTGTATGCGCAGTGTGAAAAGGCGCTGGATGGCTGACTTTTTAACTGTGTGCTCATAAAGATTGTCGCTGTTTGAGCAAGCACACCTTGTTCAATGATTGTGGAAGCTCTGTATTTTATTTTATTTTTTGCCTGCAGCTTTGTTCAGAGACTATCTATTGGCTATTTAACAACATGTTTAATATGTGTTACATAGTTGTAAAAGACTGTATAAATTGTAGAGGCATTGCATTGACAAAACATTGTACAGTTTGCAACCTTTTACATAATACCATTGTGAGATTAATTTGTAAAGATTCATACTTAGATGTTAATAATGTAGTAGTTCTGGCTTTTGTATCAAATCAAATGCCATTCTTAGTTTTCTAAATTATTTTCCTTAACAGACTATCTCTTCATGTCTAAGAGGCAGAGGATTTGTTTCAGTTTTCTTGTATCTCACTATTACTGTCTCATTCAGATTTTAATGAACGTTTGTGGCCATCTCTAAATGCTGACATCACATGTTCTGATGTGATGAGCTCATAGAACATGAGGTACCTTGAAACAACGTGTAAGCTGGTGTGTTTCAACTTCCATGCGACCCTAGAGGAGCACTGGCACATTTTGAGTGATCTACCTGCTGAGTGTGTGACTCATTCCAAACTTCAAAGCACAGCAGTGTTCCTGGTGCAGTATTTAACGAGTGTCAGCACACAGATGTAACCACTGTATAGCGTAGTGCCAAAATTATGATCTCAATTGTGGACGTAGTTTATGACCCAATAAATGGATTGTTTGTAACATCTGCTTTTGCGTGTGTGTGTCTCTAAAGTGGAAATCTCTTCTTTTGAGGACGTAACTTTGAGTTGTTTGCTGTGCTTTTGAGTTTTTTGTATGAGCCGTATGTTTATTGTGGAACTTGGCAGTGAGTTATGGCAGCATTAGGATGAAAGGTCTAGTGCTAATTACTGGCAAAATAGCTTTTATTGTTACATAAAAGCACCCTATTCCTGGTGAGACTTCAAACACAACCAACCAGCCTGAGGTGGACGCTTAAAATTGGGGAAATGAGTTTGAAGTGGAAGAAATAAAAATAATAGAACTTCTGCTGATCATCTTGATGGGGAAAAAAAAAGTGATCAAGTAGGGGAATAAAGCTTAAACTGTGCTTTTGGGTGGCACAGGTGGCAACAAGAATCACCTGAGCTCATTGGTGAGCTGTGTCATTAACAAGCTAAACTGTGTATTGATTTAAAAAACAGAAGAGGAGAAGGGATGGCCATTGTGTCTGATATGGCACACTAACTAGGGCTTGCAGTCCTTTCATATTGAATTATACACCTATTAGCCTTTTCACTTCTTTACCAGGCTGCTGGCAGACCTGTCCTTGGGACACAGGGATGAGTTCTGTCAGTTGTTCTGGTAGGCATCCCCAGTGTCCCATCCATACTTTCCGCTCAGTCTTGCGCTTTCTTTCAAAACTTCAGCATTCCTGGAATCCTGAGACTCAATTTTCTTTTTCTACCTACCATGCTGAGAAGAATCCCTGTAGCCTGGTAAGATGAAGGGGAGAAAAAAAAAGTTGATTCATAGAATGTTTTGCTGATGCTGTCCCTGCAAGATTTTAGCTTAAATTAGTCTGTAACTCACAGTAGGGTTAGTTGTACATTCTCACTGGCACTGTGCCCATCCATTCCCTGTCACAGAATAGAACCATTAAGGTTGAAGAGGACCTTTAAGGTAATCTGTTCCAACCATCAACCCCATCAGGTACTTTCTGTACAGTCACTCTGCAGAGGCTTTGCGAATGGGGCCCCAGTAAGGAAGGGAAAGTTAACCTAAACCTGACCTCAGACCTCCACGTTCTCCACAGGGTGGAGATAACCTGGTGGAGATGCTCTGGGGAAGAGGTTTAGTGGGATTACCCCAACATGGCACTTCAGGCACTAGGGCAGTGATAATTTCAGTCTGCTGCAAAGAAGTGGGGGTTTGATTGCAGGGGAAAATTCAACGGTGTGGAAGATGCAGATTATTGCTGAGGTGTTTATGGCAGTGTGCACAAATAACATGCAAGCTGTGGTTGGTTTGCACTGATGTTTTTTTCTCTCTCCCAGTCAACAGATGCCTCTGAGTTATTAAAAGATATTTAGGAGGAAAATCTCATGAGTTGATGTGAAGAAAGATTGCTACCCTCTTCCTAGGAAGGAGAATAACTCTCAGTAAAGCAGTTGTGAGTCCAGAGATCTCTCAGCACAGAATAAGGCTCAGATGGTTGCCTGCAAAGGTTGCTAGCAAAATCATCTGTGATTTCTGTATTAAGAGCACAATGCTTGAAGGAATTAGCTGTGTTCTACAGAGGCAGACTGTCCAAAGGCAGAGAGCCTTGCTGGCCACGATAGTTTTCAAAATCTAGAGTTGTGAATTGGTTTAAGGAGGGGAGCAAGAGTATGATAAAGAAAAGAGTAAATATTCCAGTGCCTTGTGTAAGATGTTGCAAAAGTTGTTGAAACTGTGATTGCTGCTTTCCAAAAGCCAGGCTCGTTTCTTTTGCTGCTTTCCCTTGCTCCAAAACTGGCAGCCTATTTGAAAGGGCTGGGCCAGTGAGATGCTTTGCTGAGCAAAAGGGACTGCACGGTGTTTCGTGTTCCCTTGGGATCTTTCTGCCTCAGTTCATCCCCTTGCTGAGTGAAAGCCTGTGTTCCAATGACCTCTTGTGGTTGCTGCCTCCTGCAGCCTTTGCAGGCACTCAGCTGGACACCCACCACTGCCTGCAGCATTTCTGTGTGCATCGCTGAAGTTCAGACCTTTGCCATTTTGCACATAAGCAGCTCTAAAATACTTTCAGAAGCACACGAGGTCAAAGTCAAGCAAACTCCTTTAAACTACGTGGACTTGCAAAGAAAAAAAAAAATCTCATCAGGCATTTGCAGCTTTATTTCTATATGTATTTCTATATGCGTGCTTCCACCTGCTAATCTAGTTACTAAGGGAAGTTCATCCACATCTGAGCATTCAGCCACCTAATGTAACGGTGGGAATTATTCAGCCTTTCTTATCTTTTTAAAGGGCTCCTGTTTGCGATTGTGTTCGTGTTGCAAATAAGTGACACCACAGCAGCAGCCAAGTCTAATGCAGGCATTAGGCATAATGTGAAACTAAGACAGAAAGAAGTTCTTACACAGTGCCTTGCTTCCAGCTGCGTGCAGCACATTGCCTGCTCTGGAAGGATGTGGATAGCATGTGCACATTAGTTTCACTTACCCAGAACAAGCATCTCAGTTTCCCCAGCATTAATCACTTTGAAGTAATTGAAGCTTGCATGCCTTGTTTAATCACACAGTTCAGCACTCTCTGGTGTTTGTGAATTAAAAACCTCGAGGGACGTTCTGGCTCCATGGAAAACCCCATACTGATTGAGGGCTCACCCAAAGAACTGAGGAACAAAAATACAAGCAAGAGTGAAAACAGAAGCAGTGGCCAATCTGGAACGCTTGAAGCCACGGGAAACAATGCAGGTGATGTTCTGCATTTGGGACTTTGCCTAATGCAAAGTGCATTCATCCATGCAGCCGTTTTAAGACCAAGGTCGTAGGATGCCCTGAGCAGAGTGCACCGCTCCCATGGCTGCTGGCGCTCCTGCGGCAGAGCGTGGTTCCACATCAGGACTGATTGCCAGCTGGGGGTTATGCTTAGCATGCCATGCCTGGCTGCTGCCGTGAGTCACGGGTTTACTGACAGAAACTGCTTTTACTTCTTTTAGAAGGAAATGTGTTGAAAAACAAACCATTGACGAGCTTTTGGATGTCAGCGTAACATGACAAAGCTCTTGTCTGCCTTGAGGCTTCCACAGAACACTGCCGTGCTTCTGCAGGATTGCTGGGGGTTGAGGCGGGCTACTAAGACGACAGACTCATATATTTGTCTGCATATGTAGAAACGTGCAGCATAAGGAGAAACGTGCAGCATAAGGCGAGTGCCGGCACATAGGGCAGAAGTTCTGCACCTCCTGCATTTTCACAGCACTTCTGTGCCTCGCCTGCCCGTGCTCAGTTTGTGCATAAAGCGATGGCGAAGGGCAGGCAGATGTGCTGCCCGAAGCGCTGACGATCACAGCCGGGCCCGTGCTCTGGTGGTGCTCGGCCGGCACGGAGCGGCAGCGCAGCCTCGAGCCGCTCGTTTGGGGTCTGGGCACGGAACGGTTGCGAGAACCCTTAAAGGCCGGCCGGCCCAACCGCCCCGCACGGAGCGGGAACCGCCGCAGCCCGCAGAGGCAGAACGGCGACACGGCGGCGTGGCTGAGGAGGCGGCGGCGAGCACGAGCCTCTCCGCAGCCGTGCCGCCCGGGCAGGCGGAGGTCCGGGGGGCCGCGGCTCCGCCGTGCGTGTACGCGGCCGGAGGGAGCGGGGCGGGAGGCGCCTCTGAGGCGGCCGCGCCGAGCGGGGAAGGGGCCGGGCCGCGGCGGCGGCGGCGGCGGCGGCGGCGGCGGGCGCC